GGAGGAGAAGGAGATGACAGAGGACAAGATGGTTGGATGGCATCATCGACTCAATGGACATGAATTTGAGCAAACTTCAGAGGTTGGTGATTGATAGGGAAGCCTGACTTGCTGCAGTCCATGGGATCACAAAGAGTTGGAGACAACTGAGCAACTGAACTGAACTTACCAGGCTGAATGCGTTCTTTATAGTCTGGAAATGACTTACTACACAGCATCAGTAAATTGGTTAAAAAACAACAACAAAAAAAGCCAGACAACAGAGAGGAAGACTCTTATGCAGTATTAATAATATACATATATCATATATATATATTTATATATGTGTGTTTGTGCATATTGGAGAGGGGCATGGCCACCCACTCCAGTATTCTTGCCTGGAGAATTCTCATGGACAGAGGAACCTGGTGGGCTACAGTCCATGGGGTCACAAAGAGTTGGACATGACTGATCGACTAAGCCTTTCACTGATAAGAGTTTTGGGTNTTTCACTATACAGACCTTTGTTGGCAAAGCAATATCTTTGCTGTTTAAAACACTGTCTAGATTTGTCATACCTTTCCTTCTATGGAGCAAGCATTTCTAATTTCATGGCTACAGTCATCATCTGCAGTAATTTTGGAGCCCAAGAAAAGAAAGTCTGTCACTGTTTCTCCTTTTTCCCTTTCTACTTGTGATGAAGTGATGGAACCAGATGCCATGATCTTTGTTTTTTGAATGTTGAGTTTTAAGCCAGCTTTTTCACTCTCCTCTTTTACCCTCATCAAACGGCTCTTTAGTTCCTCTTCAATTTCTGGCATAAGGGTGGCACCATCTGCATTGATATTTTCCTGGCAATCTTGATTCCAGCCTGTGCTTCATCCAGCCCAGCATTTCTCATGATGTTCTCTGCATATAAGTTAAGTAAACAGGCTGAGCCTTGTCATACTCGTTTCCCAATTTTGAGCCAGTCTGTTGTTCCACGCAAGGTTCTAACTGCTGCTTTTTGACCCACAAACAGATTTCTCAGGAGACAGGTGAGGAGGTCTGATATTCCCATCTCTTAAAGATCACAGTTTGTTGTGATCCACAGGGTCAAAGGATTTAGCATGGTCAATGAAGCAGAATTAGATGCTTTTCTTAAATTCCTTTGCTTTCTCTATGATCCAATGGATGTTGGCAATTTGATATCTGGTTCCTCTGCTTTTTGTAAACCCAGCATGGAAAATTGTAAATATTATTTTATAAATATTATATATGTGTATATATATCATGCACATCTTTTTTTAAAGTCACATTCCTTAAGCATCAGGGAAGGGAGCCAAGTCCTTGGCAATCAGTAAAGGTAGGGGAGGTGATGGAATTCCAGTGGAACTCTTTAAAATCCTGAAAGATTATGCTGTTAACGTGCTGCACTCAGAGTGCCAGCAAATCTCAAAACTCAGCAATTGCTACAGGATTGGGAAAGGTCGGTTTTCACTCCAATCCCAAAGAAAGCCAGTGCCAAAGTACGGTGAATAATTACAGTGCTGCTGCTGCTGCTAAGTCGCTTCAGTTGTGGCCAACTCTGTGCGACCCCATAGACATTGAACACATTTCAATCCACTCTTGGATATGTCTCAGGGACTTTTAAACTGCACATTCTTATAGCAAAACAAGTACTCACATACCCATGTTCAGATTATTTTGATGAAATGATTAAAGTAATGAGATGGGAAATAAATAGCAGAATGATTTTCTTTGTCTCATCTACAACATTAACCTGTAAGGATAAGAATAATTGAATGCATTTACAATGAAAATTACCACTGCAGCTAGCTCTTTTTTTTCATCTTAAACCTGAATTTAATCTTCTTTGAGAGGTATATGTTGTTCTTTGGTTCAATATTTGCTGTAGAAAGTTGTAATACACTAGCATGTTAAATTCACGCCTAAGAATTTGGACTGAAACGCTGATGATGAAAACCATAGAGACCAAGTCCCCCCACATTCTGCAGAGTGAAACTGACTCTGTCCACTCAGAGTGAGCAGCTCTGCAGGAGTCCTCTGCTTCTTTGCCAGGAGCTTCTCGTATCCTTGAGCCTTTGCAAACTTCCCTGGTGGCTCAGACGGTAAAGCGTCTGCCTACAATGCGGGAGACCTGGGTTCAATTCCTGGGTCAAGAAGANGAAGTTTAATCCCTAAACAGAGAGAAGACAAAGGAAGCAACCCGTAACAAGGTAAAGATGGTTTCAAGTATCTCATTCTGACTCAAAACATCATCTCTGGCTGTTTGCTGCCTTGAAACCCAGTGAGCCTCCCTTTCTGCCAATTGCCTTTCCATTTGCACCTTCCGCTTTTGCTGTTCTAGTTCATCCTTCAGCTTTCTGATTTCCTCTTCGAACTCCTGTTTTATCTGAGCTTTCGCTTTCTCAAGCTCTGCTCTGTAATTTTCTAGTAACACTTGGGTTTGTTTCTGAATCTCCTCCTCGGTCTTCTGATACAGGCTATTCGTGTAGTATCTCCCATTGCACTTGTCCACCACATCCTGGACCAGGGCCAGCCGCTGCTCCCTCTGGTTCTCCTGCTCAGCTCCTGTGGCCTTGCTGTTGTAAACACAGTAGCGATCTCTGAACCTGCAAATCAGTTCTTGGATGGCTGTAGGAGCATGCTTTAAGTAATCATGGAAATCCATGCCGCCTAAGTCATCTTTCCGGGTGAATAAGAGAATCATGTGTTCCCTAGCTCTCTCTCCAAACATCGTCAGGATCTTCTCTGTGGCTTTCTGGTCTTCCAGCGTGTAAGGGCCCAGTGGGATGACCAGGAGCAGAGCGTGAGGCCCCGGGGAGGTCAGCAGCATGCAGCGGGTAATCTCCTTGAGAGTCTCAGCATCTGGGACGTCTGTGTCAAAGAGGCCAGGGGTGTCCACGACGACAACTTCTCTCCCCCTCCAGGTGCCATTTCTTTTCTCACAGTGCTTGGTGATGGATACAGGTGAAGAGATAGACTGAAACACTTTCTCTCTGAGGATGCTGTTTCCTGTTGCACTTTTTCCTGCCCCAGTCTTACCCACTAAGACAAGTCTCAACTGGGAATCTCCGAGGTATGCAAGCCCTGGAACATCAGGAAACAAAAGTCCCAGTGTTAGAATGAACTTCAACTGTCTCCCCTGCAAGTCTCCTGCCCACTGAATAAATATTCAACCCTGAATGTTCATTGGAAGGACTGATGCTGAAACTGAAGCTCCAATACTTTGGCCACCTGATGCAAAGAGCAGACTCACTGGAAAAGATTCTGATGCTGGGAAAGGGTGAAGGCAAAAGGAGAAGGGGTGGCAGAGGATAAAATGGATAGACAGCATCGCCAAATCAATGGACATGAATTTGAGCAAACTCCAGGAGAGGGTGGAGAACAGAGGAACCTGGCATGCTGCAATCTATGGGCATGACTTAGCAACTGAACAACAATAACAACAGATATTTTTCAGGATCCCTTTCAGCTCTTACTCTGATCTGGTGGAAGCACACAGCTCATAGAGGAGGAAGCAATGTGACTAAGAAGAGGACTCTGAGTTGCTACCAGTAGCTGTTCTTCATAAGACAGGGGGTAACACAAAACTGACTATGCATATCTGACTTCCCAGGAAAGCTGAAAGCTAGTATCAGAGCCACAGAGCGCAGCAGTGGAAACCTGAGTTTAAGCACCAAGTCCTCCACCGGCTCCTTGCCTGCTTGTATTCAGCAAGTCTCTGCATCTCTCTGCAATGTGTCTATAAAGTCAAAGTCCTCTGGATTTGTCAGCCATAGACCCAGCGCCAGAGGGAAGGCAACTGACAATCACATGTGAAACCCTCTTTTTCCGAGAAGGCAGACCTTGCCGGCTGGCCCTTGAACCTAAGGGTCTGATTCCTGCATGAGGAATCCTATGTTATATCTACCCATTTCTGCTTTGAGACAATGCCTACATTATTTCACGTACAACATTATAGACATTGTTACCAACTCCAGTTTATTTTCAGAGCCATCACCATTCACCCAGTTCCTCAGACTAGAAAGCTAGGAGTCACCCTTGACTCGCCTCTTTCCCCTACTTTCCAGACCCAACCCATCAGCATGTTCTCTTGGCTCCAAATCTGTTCCCCTGTCTCTGTTTTGAAGATCATCATTCCAGTCCAGATTCTATCACCACCCCTGCCTCAGCAGTCTCCTAACAGGTGTCTCCACTTCCACTTTGTCCCTTTCAGTCTATTCTGTGAGGTGGGCTAATCTTGAAAAAATATCAATCAAACAGAACCAGGAACTTACAGAAACGCCTCCTGTGATGTCCACAAAATCTGTAGTTAACCTCCATCTCCCACACACTTTCTGATGAAGTGTTTGCTGATCCCTGAATCCCTAAGGCAGAGTTTTCCCCATCTGAGAACCAGAATCCCGGGATAAAAGAAATAAATTTCCCAATGCTGCAAACACTGGATATGGGATGGCTAAGGTTTATCTAAGAAAAAATGTACATAAGAATTCAGAGTATTCTTAATAGTTATCCTCACAATAGAAGCTCCAACCTAAGGAGATCCCAGGGCATTGGTTGCCCTTAGAGAGAGGGTATAGGAAAATCATGGCCTGGCAGTAAAAAGGTACCAAGGCCAGTGCCAACACTGCAATCATTGGCCAATGCCAATAACGAATGGATGGCAACCTCTGAAGATGGCAGCCATTGCCACGAAGGAGCCCATCTCTGCACTCATGCCTCTTGGGAAGGTGGATTCTCAGCTCCTCTCATCAGGATGCTGAGTCTGTTTCTCCAACCTTTCAGTCTGACTGGGCCATGTGACTTGCTTTGGATCATAGGATCATGAAAACATGGTTAAGCAGAGAATCTGAAAGCACTGACACATTGTGCTTTGCCTTCTCTTTCTGATGTTTGGAACTCTACACCTGCCCTGGACTAGCCGACTTGATGAGGGACACAAGGCCCTGTTACCCTGTCTGCCTGGCCAACCCAGAGCTTGCTGACCACCAGAAATGTCTGTGAGGCTAGTCAAGATTATTGTGTTGCATCCTGAACCACCAGCCAAGCACCCGCACATGAGTCAGTCTGGCTGAGACTAGACAGGTTGGTTCAGACACAAGCACGGCCCAATTGACCCTCAAAATTAAGAGCCAAGCAAATGGTCGCTGTTTTAGGTTCCTAANATGACAGAGGATGAGATGGTTGGATGGCATCACCAACTCAATGGACATGAGTTTGGGTGGACTCCAGGAGTTGGAGATGGACAGGGAGGCCTGGCATGCTGTGATTCATGGGGTCACAAAGAGTCAGACATGACTGAGTGATGGAACTAATTAAGTTCCTAGGATAAAGGGGTAGAGGGAGGGTTATATGAGAAACGGAGTGATCAGTCTGTTGAGTTTATTGCTTAGAGTGAGGCCACTGGGAGCAGGGAAATTAGGGGCCTGAATGAGGCATTGATCACCCTGACATTCCTCCTTCCCAGTCCTCTCAGGATGAAGATAGGGGCAGAGAAACCACCTGGGAGGCCACAACCCCTGATCCGGTGTGCCCACATGGTAAGTCAAGTTGCTCAGTCATGTCTGACTCTTTGCGACCCTATGGACTGTAGCCTACCAGGCTTCTCCGTCCATGTTATTTTCCAGGCAAGAGTACTGGAGTGGGTTGCCATTTCCTTCTCCAGCCCACATGGTAGGAAGTAGCAAATAAGAAACCTCATCAAGCCCGGGAGCAGTCAGGGTATCGGAACTCTCCTCCTGCTCGCTGGTAAGCTACATTGCAAGGAGGATGCATAGAGGGTAGAGAGACCGAGAGAGCAGAGCAAATGAAGGGAAAATGAGAAATGTGGTTGAAGACATTTTACTCTTGTACAGATTGACTGGATGACAAGGCAGGAGAGCCCCAGCCCTCCTCCCCAAGCCTGGCTGCCCTCCCCAAGCAGCCTCTCACCGTGGCTGGTCCTGGGTTCGCCGAGGTACTGGGCTGCCATTGTGGTTTGGATTCCTGGGACTAAAGAGACATAAGTATGTTATTACAGGGAGATGCAGAATAAACCAGAAACATCAATCTCCTGTAAACAACAGTTTCTCTTTCTTCATAAACTTGCTACACGATCTCTTCTCTATTTCTCAATACTTCTTATTTCTGCTTTCAGTCCCATTTTCAGATTGTCATTTTTCTTACACAGATGTAAGTGCTTCAAGTGCTTCCTTGGCACTGGTTTTGGGTGCCCTTCCCTCCTCTATTCAGTGAATTATTGCTCTGAATGCCATTTATATGTAGTCTGCAGCCTGGACCCTTCCCAGAGTTCCAACCTTTTCTATCCCATTCAAATTCTCCATTTGGCAATTTTGTGGGCATCTCAAACTGATTTGGACAAAATGAAACCCTGACCTCCATCCCCAGCCTGGTTCGCATTTCAGTAAATGGCATCATGAAATGGCTCATGCAGAAGCTTGAGATTATCTCTAAAACACTTCTTTCCTCACTTACTCACAGCCCATCACCAAATCCTATAGATTTTAGTTCCCCAAATGAAAAATTATCCATTACTCTCTATCTCCATGTGAATCCAATCCTATCATTTGATTGCAATGTAGCAGGCTCCAAAATGATACTGTATCTTCCATCCCTCCTCTACTCAATAGTCAGATGCCTTTTTAAAATTTATAATCTAAGCCTAACTGCTTTATAGTATTGTGTTGGTTTCTGCCAAACATCAGCATGAATCAGTCAGAGGTTCACCCGTGTTTGCTCCCACTGGAACATCCCTCCCACCTCCTTCCGCATCCTGCCCCTCTCGGTTGTTACTGAGCCCTGGTCTGAGGTCCCTGAATCACACAGCAAATTCCCACTGGCTACTTATTTTATATATGGTAATGTATATTTCCATGTTACTCTCTCTATACATAGTCAGATGCCTTTTTGATATTTGTGTTTTTTTCTCATTTAGATTTTCTAATGGATTGCTTTTGTTTTTTATTTTTCAAATAGTTGAAAGCCCTTGGAATGGTCCCGAAGGACTTGCACGATCAATTTCTCTCTCTCTCTCTCAAAAAGCTTTAAGCATACTGGCCTCCTCATTGTCCTCTGAATTCTCTAAGCTCCCCCAAGCTCCTAGACCTTTGAGGAGCACTTCCCCCTCCCGAGAGCACTCCCACCCCCATCCAATGGCCAACTGGTTTCTGCTCAGCCCTGAGGCCTCAGAGTTTTGTTATTTCTCCAGAGGGGGCCTCTCTACCCAGATCATCGACCAACAAGACAGGTTTGGTGTGGAGTTTGTTCTAACTACACCCAAGAATTTCTATAGAATACATACCACAATAGGAAGTGGTTTGATTTTTTTTTTTTTTTACTGTCTCCTAGTAGACTGCTAGCTTTGTGATGGTGAACCTTCTGTGTCTTGCATACCCCCTTATTCCCGAGGGAAGAAGCACAGTATTGGACAAAGCATGGTTCTCAAAAATATTTGCTTAATAAATGAATCGATTAAAAAATACCCCACTGTTTCTTGCCTCCTCTGTGACTGAGCTTTATGTCTTGCTTGCATCTGACTGTGAAAAAACTTATCTTTTCCTTATTAAAAACACATTGCTCTTGAAACATGGCATTACATTTTAGATTCTTTCCTTTATCACTGCCTACTAAGGTTGGGCAACGGAGAAAGCCATTTTAAGAATTCTTAGCAGAGCAGATTTTAACTAGAACAGGCTGAAAATGCTATTTGCTAAAGACAGAGTCATCTGATAGGAATGCATCAAATACAAATTTGAAGCACTTTCTTTTGAAAGTCAATTAGGAATAAGAGTAGGAAACAGCTTCTTATAAACTGGGAACTGAAATTACCGAATTTTAAATAAGCTTTTTTCATAAAGTTGATGTTGGTTGTGGGTGTTAGAAGAAGGAGTAAAATACCAGAAACACATAAGGAACACACAAGGTTTGTGTTATTTCTTAAAGTCTACTGTCCAGTCTATGGACTCTGTCTTCAGCATTCTTTAATGCTGTTCTGTTTATCCTAGTTCAAATATAAACCAGAGGACTGACCTTCTCTACACACTGACATTGGATGGCTGAATTCTCCTCCTACTGTCTAAGGAACAAGCATCTGTTGGTCCCCTGCTTTTCCTGAATGCTAGACAGTAACTTGGGTTGGCATTTCCCTCCTCCTGTCTTCTAAAATTTTCTCTTCCCCAACTCAGGGTGAGGCCCAGGAAGAGACTATCCCTGAGGAGGTAAGTCCAAAGGGGCAGCTCTGAGCAGAGAGTTAACTGGGTAACAGACTCACTGGTCCTGCTCTGCATGCTGGCTTTGGAAGAGGAGAAGTGCTGAGCTGTGTCTCTTACATCTCCTGGAGCTCTTCTCACCACAAGCTTCCCACAGAATGAATTCTGTCTGCTTGGTCAATGCTAATCCTGAAAACTTCAAGTTTTCTTATAAATTCTATGAATGGTGAGAGGAGTCATTTGTTTGTACAAGTATCCCCTGAGCAGTCACCATGGAAAGAGGCATCAATTTGTAGGGCTCAGCCTTCAAAACAGATTACAGCCTAAAATCATCAAAAACAGGAAACAGAAACCCAATGAGAAATACATTCTGAGAGCAAGTTTGCAAGGCTTAAGATATAGATCCAGGGGAGGAGTTCCCCTCCATCAAATGACACATTTCCTCCCCTCCCTCTCACCCCCACAAATACCCCTCTTCCCTTACCTAGAAAATCTGGGGCCTGCTCCATTCTCTTACTTTGAAGACAAGGCTGAACCAGGAGGTAATGCAAGGCTGTTAAAAAGAGGAGGCAGGAGGAGACAGGAAGTGAGGGAGGAGCCATCCAAACTCACGCAAAAGACCTGCTGCCCCTGTGATCATCTAGGAGTGTTAGAACTCTTTGCAACGATGAAACTGTTTTGTGTGGTTCTGTTCAGTTGCCCTGAGCCACATGGGCTATTGAGTTCATGAAATGCAATAAGTGTAATTGAAGAACTGAATTTAAAATTTTATTCAAAATTGTTTAATTGAAAGTTACAGTTAAACAGCCACACCTACCTAGTTGCTACCATATTAGGCTGTGCAAAGACTGCAAAAGGGAGGGAAACAAGATGGGTCATGCTGTGAAAGTCAAGAAAAAACTACTGGGTCAAAACCAGAGTGCTGACGCTCAGAGTGTGGCCAAGATGGCAGGGTAGGAAGACCCTGAACTCAACTCCTCCTATGGGCATGCCAGAATTGCAAGTATTTAGAAAGTAACTATGACCTAAGAACTAGTAGAAAAGATTTTCCACAACTAAAGGTAAAAGGAAGGAACCACAACAAGACAGATAGGAGGGAGTAAGGTCAAGACCCACATCCCTAGGTAGGCGACTCGCAAATGGGAAGATAATCACAACAACAGAGGTTTTCCCCAAGGAGCAAGGGGTTGGGCCCCATTTCAGACTCCCTGGGGTGGGGATGGGGTCCTACACTAGAAAGGTGAGCCCCCAAAATATCTGACTTTGTTGTGTCGTTGCTAAGTTGTGTCTGGCTCTTTGTGACCCCATGGACTATAGCCCACCAGGCTCATCTGTCAGTGGGATTCTCCAGGCAAGAATCCTGGAGTGGGTAACCATTCCCTTCTCTGGGGGATCTTCCTGACCCAGGGGTTGAACGCACATGTTCTGCATTGCAGGCAGCTTCTTTACCACTGAGCCACCTGAGAAGCCCCAAAACATGTGACCTTGAAGGCTACAAGGCTTACATATGGGAAAGCGAGAAGGCGTGAGAAGCAGAGACCCCACTCTATATATATGTTCTCAGATTGGAAGAATCAATATTGTGAAAATGTCTATACTATTACAATATTGTTCTATACTATCCAAAGTAATCTACAGACTCAATGCAATTTCTATCAAATAACCAATGGCAAGTCTCACGCAATTAGAACACAAAATTTTACTATTTGTATGGGAACACAAATGACCCCGAATAGCTAAAATAATCTTGCCAATAAAATGAACAACATAGAAGAAGTGGACAAATTCTTAGAAAGGTACAATCTCCCAACAGTGAACCAGGAAAAAATCAAATATATGAATAGAACAATAACCAGTTCTATAGTCTCCCTATTGGGGAATCTAACCTGGTCTCCCACTTGACAGGTGGGGATACTGGTAAAGAATCCACCTGCAATGCAGGAGACCCGGGTTGAGAAGATCCCCTGGAGAAGGAAATGGCTACCCACTCCAGTATTCTGGCCTGGAGAATTCCATGGACTGTATAGTCCATGGGGTCACAAAGAGTCAGACATAACCGAGCGACTTTCACTTTCACAATAACTAATCATGAAACTGAATGTGTTATTCAGACCAAGAAACAAAAGTCCAGGACCAGATGGCTTCACAAGTGAATTCTACCAAACATTTATGAGAATGTTAACAGCTATCCTTCTCAAATAATTTCAGAAAATTGCAGAGGAAGAAATACTTCTGAACTTATTGTATGAGGCCAGCATCACTCTGATATCAAAATCAGAAAAGATAACACAAAAAAAGAAAAGCATAGGCCAATATCACTGATGAACATATATGCAAATATCCTCAACAAAATAGTAACAAACTGTGCTGGGCTTTCACTCTAGAGTCTCTTTCTGCACCTCCCAGATGGTGCCTGTGTGCCACTCCCCTGCCCTGCCTGGCCGGGCCCTCCTCTTTCAGGGGCCAGGCAATGGTTGGGCAGGGGTCAGTAGGTTAAAGGGATGCTGTCTCTGCCCACACCACCTTATCCCCTCAGTCCCGCCATGGTGGAAGATGCGATTTGAAACCAGGTTGTGTGGGGGTGGCCCAGACTCAAGTGGTTTGGAAAAGTCTCTTGACCCAGAAATCACAGAGAGCTATTCCAAAGTAGAAGGAATGCACTCCAACTAGCTTGGCCTGAAGGTAGAAAGTGAGAAGAGAGTCCTAGACCAGTTGCATTGAGGACTGAAGAGCTCCTGTGAGGATTTGCCAATCTGATTGACTTGCTCAGGGAGGCTGGAACATCTATCTCCAGAAATGTCTTTGAAAAATAAAAAGCAAGATAATCTTTCATCCAAGGACTCCATTAAAGGAAATAATCAACACAGTTCTCTGTGTAGGATCCCTCTGGAGCATAAAGAGGAATCATGTAACAGCTTTCAGCAATTTGAGACCAATGATCAGCACAGAACTTATCCTAAGGTCCACTTGGAGCCTTCAGAGAAACCAGATACTAACTTCAGGCAATTTGCCACAAAAAACTAGAGCTGCCAGTGCCATCCAACCAAACCCCGAAATATCATTTTTTGTTTCCTTCCTGTTTTGCAGTGGCTCCCAAAATGTAACCTGGAGGAAAATATTTTAGGAGATGTGATGTCTGCCTTGACTGTGGGCATCTTGTTGGTGCCCCAGCCCACTGCTTATTCTCTCTTTTTGCCACAAAAAACCTAGAGTTGCCAGTGCAATCCAACCAAACCCCAAAATATCATTTTTGGTTTCCTTCCTGTTTTGCAGTGGCTCCCAAAATGTAATCTGGAGGAAAATATTTTAGGAGATGTGATATCTGCCTTGACTGTGGGCATCTTGCTGGTGCCCCAGCCCACTGCTTATTCTCTCTTGGCTGGCCAGGAATGTATCGATGGTCTACACACATCTTTTTTTGCCGGCTTCGTTTACTTCCTATTGGGGACCTCCCATCACATCTTTGTGGGCATTTTTGGAGTGTTCTGCCTAATGATTAGTCAGCTATAGTTGACTGAGAACTGTATGGAGCTGGCTATGACTCTTCCCATGTTGCTTCTTATTTGGGAATTGTTTCAGATGGGAACACATTATTAAGCCAGACATCAGGCAAGGTATGTAACACAAGTAGCTATGACATTATAGTCGACAGTATGGTAACCTTTAAGGTTGGAGTTTATCAGGCAGCAATGGGCTTCTTTCAAGGGGGCTTTGTTTCAGTCTATCTCTCAGATGTCTTGCTGAGTGGATTTGTCACCTGTGCCTCCTTCACAGCTCTTACAGCTCAGGCCAAGTATCTCACTGGACTCAGACTCCCTTGGAACAATGGCAGGGATTATTCATCACTGAAAGTGAAAGTGTTAGTCGCTCAGTCATGTCCGACTCTTTGTGACCCCATGGACTATAGCCCACCAGGCGCCTCTGTCCATGGGACCTCTCCAGGCAAGAATACCGGAGTGGGTTGCCATGCTCTCCTCCAGGGGATCTTCCTGACCCAGGGATACAACCCGTGTCTCTTTAAGTCTCCTGCATTGGCAGGTGGGTTCTTTACTACTAGCGCCACCTGGAAAGCCAAATCTCTGGAGAGCCCTATGTAAATTTAAGAATCTGTCCAAGATGTGGGGCTTCCCTGGTAGCTCAGCTGGTAAAGAATCCACCTGTGATGCAGGAGACTCTCGTTCGATCTCTGGGTTGGGAAGATTCCCGGGAGAAGGGATCCATGTCTGCTTACAAGAACTGTCAGGTTAAGTCGGCCATCAAGGTTGTCCACTTTGAATCTACTCTCTAGTACATGAACAGAGAGTATTTTAAATCTTCTTTATATATATTAAAAAAAAACCCTCTCAATCCAGTCTTAGTGAGTTCAGTTCAGTTCAGTCTCTCAGTTGTGTCTGACTCTTTGCGACCCCATGGACTGCAGCCCACCAGGCCTCCCTGTCCATCACCAACTCCCGGAGCTTGCTGAAACTCATGTCCATTGAGTTGGGATTGCCATCCAATCATCTCATAGGCAGCTCGGAAGACGGTAGGAAAGAAAAAGATCAAAAGGGAAATAGCCGCTCTCAGTGAAATCCAGGATGAAGTTTCAGTGCGACTTTCCCATGATTCCTTAGAGTTCCACACCATCGTGACTGCAGTGCAATACAGCTTTTAGATACAGCAGGGATATACATGATGAGAGAAGTTCTCAAGGTTTATGAAGCCATTGGCATCCAGGTTCTGCTGGCTAAGTAAAATCCCTCTGTGCGGGACTTCCTGGCCCAGAGAGAGTACTGGAGAAATGAAGAGGAAAATCTCTTTTACAGTGTATGTGAAGCATGACTTTTTCAGAAGACTCTCAAAATTTGAAAGATATGTATGTCCCCAATGGTCTGAGCTTGTCCAGTGACTGAGAAAGTAGTGTAACAGAGGAATACTGCCTAGCCAGTTGTTTAAATTTTGAGGTGTGCAGCATTTTGTACTATGGACCTGGAAATTGTCGCCCTCTGGAGATTTTGGCCTTTTGGCTAGACAGAACTGTTCCTTTGAAGCTGATGGCCATCGTCGATACACAAATGCAGCAGAGCTTTTAGTTAGGCAGAATCAAAAAGAAGAAACTATCGAGGTTTTCAGCTTTCTTGCACATATGGAATGAAATTAGTATCTGTTGAATTCAACTGTAGAGTAGCCCCCAAATTTAATGACCATCTCGTTTTAGGAGATAAGTGTCTGCCCTCTTCCTTCCTCAGGAGGTGAAGGGGTAAAGATGGTATTTACATGCGAAGTGCTGGAGCCTGTTTGGCAGGGCTCCCTAGGGAGGGAGTAGAAAGGAAGTAGGGAAAGAATACTGTGTCTCCTCCTGTAAGAGCAGGTCAAGAGGCTTCCTGAGTGCAGGGTAGTAACTAGACAAGCTTGTGCTCACTTTGGGCTTCCCTAGTCCTTGTCTTCCCTGCCCACCCCCTGCCCTCCAGATGGCACTCAGATCTCTGACAATTCCTCTCAGGCAAAGTCTTACCAGGAGTCTAATGGCTGAGCAGGTTTGCAAAATCCTACCAGCCAGCCTCACTTTATACAGAACACTCTTGAGGA